GATGGTTAGCGATGGTAGACTTATTTATAGTAGTGGTAGATTTATAATATCTTATAGACTTATCTTTAGTGGTGGTAGACTTAATTCTGGTTTCGCCCGATGGTAGACTTGTTTAACGTTGTGGTAGATTTGTAAAATTTGGTAGACTTATTTGTATTTGTGGTAGACTTATTAAATCTTTTCAGAGTTTTACTGAAATGACCTTAATTTATTACAGTGGTGGTAGATTTATTTATAATAGTGGTACATTTATAATATGTAGTAGTGGTAGATTTATAATATGTGGTAGACTTATTTCTAGTAGTGGTAGAGTTAATTTTGTGATCGTTAGACTTACTGATTGTTCGCGCAATCGTAGACTTATTTATAGTAGTGGTAGATTTATAATATGTGGTAGACTTATTTGTAATAGTGGTAGACTTATAATATTTATTTATAGTAGTGGTAGACTTATTCAATGAATGACAAAATCGTAATTTACCCTTCATCTTTTCCAACACACCCAAACTTATGTCAACAATGGCGGCCAACTCATTTTTAGCTCGTTTTTGCTGTGTCTTAACTTGTTTTCAACTGGGTTTAACCTACAACTAGTAGATCTAACATCATATATCCATTTTCTAACAAAAAAAATCAAAAGATTTTGAGTTTTATTTTTCAAATTTTGATTTTTAGTTCGATTTTTTCCTAAATCTCGGTGTTTCTGCAGCCTCCCCCCCTCCGCCGAGCACGATCCGGTGCTTCCACAGCCTCCGCGGCGGTGGTTTCAAACAAATATTTGATTTATTGGTTTAAAGAACTTTCAACGTATACATGTGGTGGTAGACTTATTGGATAGTTATGACAGACTTATAATTTTTTTTTTTTTAGGTTTCACGATGGTAGTTTCGTAAATAAAATAGATTACTAAGGTTTATTTYTCTTTTATCGAGTTGTGTCAACTTATTAGATTTGACAAAGTCATTCTAGTAATTACCCTACTTTCCAAAGTCATTCTAGTAATTAACTTTTTTGAGAATGCTCTTTTAAAAATCCTGGTAAAATTAAGTATTGTGTTTGATGACCAAAAAACAAATTTAAGTATTGCGTTTATTCGTTCTACATATGTTTTTATGTTATGTAGTAAAATCAATAATTTCTTGGAATGCAAGTTACGAATTTGAACAAAATTTAGTTATAGCCTATTTATTTTGGAATCCATAGTAGTAAACATATCGACGCATGGGTCAATTAATCTAAAAGTCAAAGGTTTTGATGTGGCAGGGAGATTATGTTGGAGTACAAAAAGGAAATAATGAATTTAGGTGACTTGCTTTTTGAGCTTCTATCAGAGACTTTGGGGTTTAACCCTAATCACCTCAAGGACATGGATTGCAACAAGTCAATGATCATGTTCGGCCAGTATTACCCACCTTGTCCTCAGCCCGACCTTACTCTAGGCTTAAGCAAGCACACCGATTTTTCTTTTTTAACCATTGTTCTTGAGGGCAATATCGGAGGGCTTCAAGTTCTCCATGACCAGTATTGGATCAATGTTCCTCCCAATCCCGAGGCTTTTGTTGTTAACATAGGGGATCTTCTCCAGGTTACGAAAGCAACATTTTAGATTCGTTTTTATTAGAAATCTCACATCTTAATAATTTATAAAAGACATGGACTAATCTACGTCAACCTAT